GAATATAGCCTGTGAGTGCCACATGGCAGGTGAAGAATTTAAAGTGTATTGAAATGGTCCTTGAGTCACTTGAACTCAATGGGCGTGTTTCAGGTTAAAATGCAAGTAGAAATGCCATTGTTTGCTCAGAGTGCAGAATGCAACTACTTGAAATATTTAGATGTGACAGTGGTCAAATCACAGTAAAATGCCTTCTGTAAGGAGCAGTGAGTTTTTGACTGAACATATGCTTTGCTTTCTCTACTTTCTATGAAAAAGCCTTGAAGTTTCTGAAGGGCAAACCCACAATATTTTACTAACAAATCTAACAAAACCTATTACCGTATTTTTCCATTCTTCTTCAACCACTGTGTGCATAAGGATGCACTTCGAGAGCAAGTCAAATGTTAGCATTAGCATTTAGCTCTACAGTAATCAGTTACAACACAAACCACCCACAAGAAACAGCATAACGTGCTTAGGACAAGCCTATGTGGCCTAAACCAACAATTTTTACAGTGTAGCGGCCTGACAATGAAAATCAAATGAGTTAGTGGATGTTCCCCAGAAGAGGTCCTTGTTATGAAAGGAAGAATGCATACTTCCTGTGCATTGCAGAGAATGCTGCCTCACTGAAGGGAAAAAGTTAGTTTAGGTGACTGTGTTAGTCTTTCTCTAACTCCCTTGACCCCTTCAAACAGGGTCTGAACTCATGTTCTGAAGTCTTCTCTGCTTTTCCTTTCTTTCAGTCAGCTCAACATCCTTGACAGGCTCATAAGCATACAAGACCCATACATACTGCCAGGCTTCTTTCTGGCAAAGCTGGGTTGAAAAAAAATGTAAGAAGCCAATGTAGTTAGAAATAAATAACAATATATTTACAACTGAGAGGTAAAGTGCACATAGTTAATTTAAGCCTTAAGAGATCTGACTTAGTTCTGCGTAATTATAGTAAACTTTAACAGATATCTAACAGGGTGGAGTGGGGAACGTAATTCTTTAAGATAATGTTATTTGAGAACTAATTTCTACATGAGTAATTTTGGATAAGTAATTTCTCCCTTTCTGTTTTAGTTTTCTACTCTTAGAAGCTAAGCTACTAATAGGATTAACTGGCAAGTACTATGATGAATTACTTAATATTCAAAAAATACTAGAGTCTTCTACAATTATAACGATATACAGATGCTGGAAAAACTATTTCATATCAAAGCTACATTTAGCTAGGAAATTTTCAGCCTGAGAGAGAATACACAGACTGTTTCCTGGACAATGGGTCAAAACATTCATTGCCATTTCAGGCGTTACTGAATGATGGCCCATTTCTGGACTTTTCAGACGTCAGCAGTAAGGGCTACTTTCCACAACAGCACTCTGACTGCAAGAGATAAAAGACTGTTTATTCTTTTTTCACAGGGTAGGAAAACAATGACAAAAGCAGGAAGGCAGCAGTAATGCAGAAATCTGGAGATGATGATAAAGGGTAGGGAGAATGGAGAAAGCTGTTCAAATAAATCCATTCTGGCCAAAATCAGGCAGGTGACAACCAAGTATATACGACATTCAATTGAAGTGCAAATCATCATTTTTCAATTTAGTAATTAAAGAAAATTTTAAATTTAATTGGGTGTGATAAAAAGTGATTTGAAATACAGAACACAAACTGAAGTATTTCAAACCTTTAGAACACAACTTTGCGTTGTTTTCCCCGAGTGCACTATACAACCCTTAAAAACAAGAAAGGACACTGCATTTGTTCAAAAGCAATGCTGCTGCACTCTGTGAAGTACACTTAATTGATACTGACATGTTACTGCCTCACTCTTGACATCTTTCGAGCAGTCAGAGCTAGCCAAATAGCACGCTGGTATAACCCCTGGCTCAGAGAAAATTTCAGTTAGCGACAAACAGTAAAAAATAGCACCTGAGAACAAGGCAGATCTTAAAATGAGAATTGCTTAACAGAATACAGTGAGCGAATGTATGGATTTAAACATTAACTGTATGAGGAATAATTTAATTGCACAAACAACTAAAGAGAATTTTAACAGCATTTCTCTTTGAAAGACTAGTTTTGTTGTTCAGCTGATTTAATTAATAACTCCCGCAACCTTTCCGAAGGGACTGAAATAGCAGTGAGCATGAGCACAAACACACTGCCCCCTGCAGCCGGGTGTCGGGCAGAGTAGCTCACATCTTGGGTAATGCAGCAGTGTAACCCAATCAGCTCCATTTCCCAAGAAGTTTAAGTAGAATACAGAACGCGGCTAAACAAATTGTCCTTTATTCGTGGATCAAGCCCCCACCCTTCGGTGTCACGTTGTCTTAGGCATTTCATTACTAAAGCAAATACAGCTTCCAAACCCTCTCATTTATCATTATTCTGTTGGTGAACAGATCTCTTCCATCACTCTTAACTGCTCCAATTTTCACACCATTGCCAAGTCCACCTGTTTTTCATTTTAGAAAATCTTTAAAACAAGAGTAAATCAGTGAAGATCTTAGAGACAACAGCATAATGAATAACTTGTTTCTTTAGAAAATTGTAATTTTAGACAAATACAGTCTTTTAACAGATCATACCAGCCAATAAAAGGTAACTGCATTCAGATAATACATTAGACTTCTGCAAAGAGCATGTCATCATGGTCACATTAACAGAACATGGAGTCTGCACTTGAGACAACTCCAAGAATTTTTATGCAGAAACTTACAAGAGGAAGCACATCAGTTCTCAAGCCACAAGACTAAACTTTCTAGTCTTTCTTCACACATTTCTTCAGTAATTTAGGTTAATCAGGTTATTCCTGAATATGATCTACTGTTCCTACACAGAAACAAGTACTTAAAGAGAGTTATGGCCAAAAAGTTGTACTGAAAAATAGTAAAGCTTCAAAGTCTAATTTTTCATCCTTCCTACCAGAGTGATGTATAATCATTAAAAGGATGGACTATAAAAGGAGAAATCTTGCCTATTCCCAATACGCCATTCTTGTTCATACAAATATAAACAAACATTTTATTTAGTTTTTGTTCTTCTCTGAACAACTACAAATAATATCTCAAATCAAAGACCCAGATTTCTAAACCACTATCATCAGGAAATTTTACCGAGTGTCAGATGTCACTCATTCTAAAATCTTAATTAAAAGAAAAAAACCTTCAAAACTGATTTCAGGTTCAACTATTTCAAGTAATTTTACTTGGAGAGGCAGGGCTGGATATGTATGCTACACACTAGAACTTGTGCCATCCTTAAATCTTATTTCCTTTTTGTTGCATTTTATACATAAAGTTATTGTGATCTATACTTGGTATTTGCCCAAAAAAAGAAATCCACCAAAGCTTATGAAATAAATCTAAGCTCTAAAGGTAACTGTTAGGTTGAAACAGCATTTTATAATTGCTTTCTAAGCATTGCTAGAAACCTGTATCAAATAGTTTTAAAATACCAAATTAATCACAAAAAATAAGGTATTTTTTCACAAACTTTGGTTCATAAACTGATTGTCAGATTAGAATTGTGAATACAAATATTACAAGGTAATATTGTGGCTGGTACCTCCCACAGTGCTGTTGCTATAGCTCCCCTGCCACTGAGATCATATCTCTTCATAATAAATAGGTAAATATACAAAAACAAAGTGTTGAGATGTACAGATACTCATCTATACACACAGGCAAGAGTAAACACTGCAAACTTCCTCAAAATACTTTTTGCAATAGTCAAAAGATCAAGAAGGATACAGATTCCTGTACCTTTTCCCCACATGCAATCATACAGACAAGTATTTTTACAGCATACATCTTTAATATTTGTATTTAAGCAGCACAGATCTCTCAGCATCTATTCAAAACAACATCTTAGTACAGAAAAGGTCTAGAGTAATAGAGAAAGCTTTCACAATTTTAAGAATGCTTAAAAAGGACTGGCCAATCGAATGAAATGAATAGATATCCTCTAGCTTGTATTCAAACTGAAAAGCTCATAAAAAAGGAACCCAGATTGGAAGCACAGTATTTTTCATCGCACACGCCTCTTACGGCAGCTAATTTCTCAGGCATTCTGAAGAGCATTGTGTGTTTACAGACTACTTATTCAAAGGTGGATTCAGAGGAGGGGCAGAAAGATACCCAGAAAAACACAAGCTTTCATTTGCACTGAGCTGTACTGCTTTAGGTTGACTGCCTGCTTCTTCAGAAAAAGGAACCTTTTGGCATTTGTCAGTAGGCTCAAATATCTTGAAATGCTGAAAAGGTGAAACAAAAAACTTTCCCTGTACTGCCTTCCTATCTGATCTTTTGTCTCATATGTTCCCCTCAGGGATGCAGGAGAAATTTGTCTGAATAATTCATAAGCACCTAGGCAGAAACCAGCTTCTACTTCTGAACAAAAAGATTGGTTAAGAAGCTGATTCCAGCTATTCCACTCTGCTCTATCTGGAAGAAAACTGGACTAAAAAAAGTAATTTTCCTAACATAGTAAGCACAGAATATATACATGTACGTATATAAACAAACTTACGCATTTATACTGGGGAAGGCACCTTTGTACTTAAAGCTACACATTCCTTTGAGGGCAAGACTGACTCTCTACCTTTCAAAAAACCCAAGAAATGACATAGCATGAAGGTAATCAATCAACATGTAGAATTGAACTTTTAGTTTGGAATTAGCAGAATGACTGGTCTTTCCTCTTGACTACAGTATCCAACTCTTCTCTTACTATGAGCCACCTTTATTTCCCAGCAGCACTGAATATTAGGCAGATGCAAATGACTTCTTTTTCTGCAGTCTGTTAGGACTGAAATAGTCTTATTGCTTGCAGATCCTTTTTATGTCCCAACACACACAGAAGAGAGAATAAAAAGCCAGAAAAGACTGTTTCCAAAGCTGTCTTGCTAGTAAGGATATAGATCCAAAACTCATAAGCTATGGGTTACCCACACCAAATTAAGATTTCACAATACAATATCATAAGTTGAGACAAAAGTATTTAAGAATGTGGACTCAAGACTTACCAGCCTCTGCATGCTTTTCACGTGGGTAGGACTAATAGATAAGGCCTCTTCATACCAGCGTTTGGCTTCATCCATATTTCCACGAAGTTCAGCCACCTGACCTCTCATGTAGAGAACATAGTGTGACATGGGAAAGAGATTAGCTGCTTCCTGGGTACATGCTGTGGCCTCAGCAGGCTTCCCAATTCCTATGTAGACTTCAGCTGTGGAAGGAATGTGAGGACCAATGAATGATTTGTGCTTCATCATACCATGACTAGATGTTGTTACATGTGCTATATTGTAAATAGTTTCATTCCAAGCAAAGGCTATTTTCCTGAAAATTTTGCAGCTTAAGAGAAATTATTATGTAAATTATTTTAAATTAATTCTTCTTTTAGGAAAGCTGCTTTTCTAAATGCAATAGGAGTTTGAACCTCTAAATGGCTGTTTTAAACACCAGAAAACTCTTTATAGTTCGTTATTTTTAACTGAAGTCTGGGTTTTTTTCATTTTAGTTTTAAGATGTGAGCATGCAGTATTCCACCACTATTTAAGAACAGAAAACCCAACACAAAACAGCACACTGAGATCCTTACAGTAGGTAAGAGAACACAACTAATTACAGGGTTTTCTGAATTTTACATGTCAGCTGTTAAGCAAGCAGTAGCAATTGCTCCACTACCAATCACTAAACAGCAAGCCTGGTTTTAAGTTTCCTACTTCGGATAATTTTAAAAGAAATATAATGTTATTTGATGTGAAAAGTTTCCTAGTTAAGTTAGCAGAACATGTGAAATGCTTAATCAGCATTCTGATTTGACAAAATTTATTCATATTTCCAAGCATTTTATCTAAGATATCCTCCAGAAGCTAAAAACATTTAACTCTGTAGCTTCAAAAAAAAAAAAAAAAGCTATATTTAATTTAAGATAAATCGCTCCCGATTAAAGCAGTTGAGTAGCCTGACACACACTTGTCTAAATCAGATTGACTATAAGGGAAAAAAAGGTTCATTCGGTAAGTGATTAACAACTAACAATAGAGGAAGTATTTGCCTTCTGTAGCTCTTATGACACTCTTCAACATTGCTATTTCACTACCCTGCTGGATTATCTTAATCTCTTGCTGAAAGAGTGGGAGAAGGGAGGAATAAACAGATACTAAATGCAAGAAAAAGATATCAAAGGTTCTGGGTTGGGTTTTCTATTTCTTTTATGTTGGTATAGACCCTAGAAAAATTGAGACTCAAAGTAATTGTATAACTGCATTCTATCATATTACACGGTACAAGAGTCTTATAGATTAAGGCTCAAATCAAAATGCTCCATCAAAACAGCAAAGTGATCTATCGCTGTTCAAGACAGGCTTCTCACTGTACAGTACAGGCCACCCATCTTGGTTTAAAGGCTGGCAGATCAGGATCTCACACTACAGTAGTGGATTTGGGATTATGCCTAAACTCTGAATGGAACTGATGTTTGACAGCCTTTGAAGAAGCTTTCTTCTGAGACAATTGCATTAAACAGACTTAATAGTACCCCTAACTAGTCAACTTCACTACAGCAGTGCATAAACCTTAACTTACAGATGATACCTGCTATGAATAGTCATAACTATTTTCACCAAGATCAATTTATAACAATGACTAACAAAAACTGGACTTTCAGTAGGAGTCGGTGAGTAAGCACAGTTTTTTAAAGGTCTTACTAATTTTCTATTTCTTTAACTGATTTTTGTAGGGTTGCTGGAATAAATTATTTTCTTCCTCTAAGACCTGATCCTATTGATGGGAGAAAAGACTTTTTTTTTTTTTTTTTCTCCTCAGTTGACCCAGTGATTTCACAGAACACATTCTACCTAACATAAGTAGTACGTCTGTGTGGATGTATGGATTAATGCAGCATATTTTTAGAAACTCATGAAATGCTTTTTGATGGAAAAATGTCTTATCCACATAAAGAACTAACACATGAAATTGCAGATCCAGGAACACTTTTTTCCCCTAACCCTAAAAGAACCACCTCACCTAGTCAGAGATGGTACTGCATAACTAAAGAATAGCAAACCTGGAAGATAATGAGGGGATAAAATTTTGAAATCAAAATCTAAATTTGGGAGAAATTAAATTTTTCTAGGATTTTACTAACTGTTGGTAGAACCCAAAGAGCAAGTTGTAGCCATAATTTGAGAACTGGACATACAGCATAAAATGTGAATTGTATTGATAGGGTTTTTTTTTAAAAAACTCTAAAATATTTTGGAAAAGCTTTGGGTACTTCATTCTTGAATGCCCTTCTAAAAGCTACATGGTGAATATTACTACACAAGGAACAAGATTTTAGTGAGTATAAAATACACTACATTATTTAAATGCTAACTATTTGAGCTCTCCTTGTTTTATGGTCTCTTCTCCAGCATCAGACTTGAAACATAGTTTTAAATACACACACCCAAGTTGCTCGGTGAAAAGACAGTTAGGAAAAAATATAATTTACACAGACTGTAAAAGGTACTAAGTAAAATCTGTAATTATTAGCAAATAATATGCAGAAACTAAAAATTACTTAAGTAGGTGATTATCTACTACCACAATAATTCTAGACTGAAAAATAAGCAGAGATTAGCTAATTTAACAGACTGCAGCTGCAATTCTGTATTCCTTGCAGGGAAACAAGTATGGTAGTAATGGCTTTTAACACTAGCCAAGAGACCGCAATACTGCTTATAAATTATCCTTATGTTACTGTAAGATACTAAATGTTGCTGTCCTGCTTACTAACTGCAGCAGAGAAACTTGACAGTTATTAACAGACCTTCCTAAAAGTATTACATTTAAGCAAAATAATTCCTTTATGTTTAAAGTTATTATAGAGTTATTTTAAGAATAACTTCTCCCTTTCTCTAACAGAAGTTATGCCACCCCAACAGAATATCCAGCAGGCTTTTTGAAAAACTATGAAAGAATGAATAGAAAGTGGCACTTGTGGCTAGGTGTTAAGCATGAAAGTTCATTCAAGAAGTTTCTGAAACTGAAGGAGAGCTGTTCATTCTGAGATAATGACTTCAAACTGAATAAAAATGTTAAAAAACCGATATGGCAAATTCAAATAAATCAGTTGTGAAAAACTGACAAGTGCCAGCAGACTTTGTACGAAAATCTCAGAGAAGAGCCGCAGTTTGCAGAGAAACCAGGTGCCAAGTCTGATGTGCTCTTCTTAATGTCTCCACCTAGAGAATGCCAATAATGCTTTCTGGTTCAAACCCTTCCAATGCTTACGCTTGCATTTTATTGAGAAATCAATCTATTTTCCAATCAAGCTGCACAGCAATATTGAGTTCAGTCTTAATGCATTTCTCAAAGGATCACCACAGCCATTGATCATTTAGGGACAGGTCTGGTTTTTAATAGTGAGTTACTGGAGAATGTACTAATTGCAAGAGTCATTTTGTTTCACATTTAAAATTAGCCTAATTTTCCACCTTTACACTGTATGCCCAGAAATGAAAGGTCAAAACAGTCCATTAATAAACACAAGATGAAAAATTAAAATCCGGTTACTGTGTTACCAACTTCTTCGGACTGGATGCCATACTCATTTACACTAATGACAGCTGGAATGACACTGTATATCCATAAGAACAAGCATTTTCTCTTTTTTTTCACATCATATATATTAGTTTGGGTAAATATATTCCACTAAGTTTTGCATGTATTAGAACTTATTTACGTAACTCTACCATGTCTCTATAATCTAACAGGAAGAATAATTCTCAATTTTTGTATTTTAAGATTTAAAGCTTGTTAAAGATTCCCCCCCCGACACTAAGAAATAAAACACTGCACAAGCATACAGGGAGTCAAACAGTTAAACGTGGCATGAGTCTCAAAAAGGATGCAATTTCCCAATGGTAAATCTTCACCGTTATTTAAAGAACGTGTGCTTTAAGTAAGGCGTTAAGTAATTTTATCGCTGTTTTCTATGCAGGTAACCCATATACACCGATGAAGATACCTTCCACAATATCTGCTTTGTATTGTGCTTCTGAGAGAAAACTTTATTCTGAATGTTCCTACAGTAAAGAGCCTTTTCTCAAGGCTCAGGGCGTTTACTCTAGCAGGACAAGTGGCTGAATAGCAGGATACCTAAACACTCTGAAATGCAGCACAAATCCCCAGCAGAAGTATCAGGAACAGGATCATTCCAAAGTGGAGAGGAAGGAGACTTCAGGTTGCAGTACCTTCTCTGAAGGCAGACAGAAGCCCTCTTTCATCTCCTGTTTTTTTTCTTTCATTGCTCCCTATACACAAAGAGTCAGAGCACTCTTCATACTTTACATACTGGATCTTTAACACTTGAGTTCATTCTCCAGCCCAACTCTCTCCTACTTCCCACCCATGCTTCCTCCTGCTGGGAATCAAGAATATGGCCTAGAGGCCACGCTTGCCGAGGTAGGTATTTTTAAGAGTGAAAAGTGGACTGTGCAGCAGATTGCAGCAGCAGACCACCAACATGTATGCAAACCTGACTAAGTTGTGAACTAAAAAGGAATCAGCAAAGAGCGTCCAGACCCCTCCTTTGTAGGCAAAACAGTAGCAGTCACTTGCATGGACTGGATTAGCAGCAATACGACATGACCAACAAAAATTAACAGAAAATAAGCAGTGGAACAAGCTGTCACAGAAGGCTGAGAAATTATCAGCATTATAGATGCTAAGAGTTACTGTAGATGGCCATCTGTGATGGTTTATAAATATTTAAAACCAGTGATGCCACAATGCAGGGCAGGTGATTTGTCTAATCTGTGTTGCTTTCCAGGAGCCCTTCCACCCTCAAATGAGATCACTATTATTAATCACTGTCATTGCTCTTCTTTCCAATCTTTTGGGCTTTTTATCTAAAACATGAATTAATAACTGGCAGCTGTTGCCCTGTAATGACTTTCACACAATAAAACTGTTAATGCAAAATAGGTAAATTAAAACGCTAAGAAATACAGCACTGCTTTGTTGAATGTAAACATGAAGAAAAAAAAAATTACATCACTGAAAAATGCTCAAGTCTGAGACCAGACCAAAGTGGAACAGTTGCTGACTTATTTCTAAATTACACCTTCCTGATGCAAGTATCAATAAAAAACAATTGCATGGTATACATTTTAAACTGTAAAAATACACTGGATCAGCATTTTCTGGTTAAAATTTTATGTAACAGCCACTTACGATATTGCATTTAGCTTGAGGCTTGAAGCAGCATAACAATACTAAACCTACTCAAGAGAACTCCACATTTAGAAAAACAATCCTGGGCCTTTTACATTAACGAAGCTAGAAGGAAGAGAACTGAATAACAGCTCATTATAACAGCTGCAAGGGACAGGTTGCTCAATAGTACTACTCCCTCTTTTTTTCCACATATGCAGAGTTACTTATTTTCAATGATAAAGTTTTTCTAGTTGCAGGAACTCTATTCAATAATCTTACAAACATCTTTTTCCAACCAATGGAATTAGGGCATCTAAATTTCCAAATACATACTTCAGAAACTAAATTCTTCACAGATAAGGGAGAGAGTATTGCCTTTGTTCTACAGAAAACACGACTCCACTGATAACAGCTGCATTATAAAACTACTGCCTTATCTTACATAAATGATCTTACACACAAGCAACTGTAATGTGTTTTTCATTTCTTGACTTGCTTCAATGCCACGCACACACCTGGAAAAAGTTTGATCTGATAAATGGTAACAGATTCTGAATGAAGCCAAGAGATTTTTGCAAGTCCTTAGGCTAGCAAGAAAGGGGAGAAGAAAGAACAAGAAAGAATTTTACTTTCACAGTACCTGCATGAAGCCATATTTGAGCCAGAGTCATCCAAGGATGCAAGGGACCTTGTTTAGGGGCACTGCTTTGCAGAGATGAAGCAACCTCAGACAGCGCTTGCTCCACTCTGGAAGCTGCTATTGATGTGGCATGGACTGAACCTGTAGAAGTAATGAAAAAAATTACCACCATAGAAAGAATGAAGGCCACACACGTTGCATAAAACATTTAATTATAACTCTTTTCATAAGAGGTTTTACCCCAAACTCCTCAAGATTTAATTTACTTATACCATTTTTGAGAAGTTTTTTGAAATGTCAGGTTAATTTTCCTTGTTATGAAAGCTTTTATACTGCTCTGAAAGACTATATAAAAACCACAATGAACATTGGTAACTATACCTGACACATTTTTGGGTTGCTACTATGAATACTCTATTAAACTCGACACCTCTTTTCTGGCAACGTACGATCCAAAAAAAGGTTTGTGATGGTATTGTACACTGTAATCTTCAGGTTGCTGCATGCACTTTGATGTTAGTAATTGCTATGTCTTTGCATAGAGTGCAATTAGAGGACTATTTTAAGACCAATAACCGTACAAAAAAAGAGAACTAAAATATACAAGATGATTACAACATACACCATCACAAATACAGAATTAAACTGCACTGAATGTAAACCTTAGCTAATCAAAAAGGCTGAATTAAATGCCTTGTGGCAAAAAAGTCCCTTGCATAAAGAACACTCCCAAAGTATACTATGTAAAGGGTAATTCTCATAAAATGAAGCATTTACAAATGAGATTAGAATCTCATTGCCAAATACTACCCTTTTCAAAGTACTGGAATTAAAAAAGCTTCTATGACTAGAGAATATCTAATGGCAAGTGTACTTTGGATAGCCAATTACTGACAGCTTATTTAGTCATGATTTTTTTTTTTAAATCAAGACAATGGATATTTTAAGCTATGCTCCTTGTCATCTAAGCTTCAACGTATCTCTAGTTGTTTTATAATTACAAATTACAAAATCTCAGACTGACTAGGCCTGATTAATAAATAATGGAAGTGAAATATTCCATATTGAATCAGATGAGAAGTCTTTTAAGCCCATCAACATATCTGTAATGGTCAACAATGGCAGGTACCCCAAAAGAAAGTACTGAATCCTGTACAGGTTGAACAGCACCCCACAAGCTCATCTTCATCACTAGCAGTTAAGAAATAAATGAAACTTTCACTCTCAATATCACAGGTTTTCTAAGAATTTTAACAAGAAGCAATTTGCCACATAAAACATACATTCTTAAGTGTGACAAGATAAATCAGCAAACCAGAAAAGCTGAAGAAATTCCTAGCACGCAGATCAGTGGGAGGATAAAGTTTGTCTGGAAGTGTGCATCATGTTTCCCTTAACTGACAGAAACAAGGGAAAAGCAGCACAGGACATAATTAGCATTTCATATGTCATTATGAACAAGGAATTGCCCTGAAGATCTGAAACAGTATCTGGCCGTGGACTTTGCTTTCCTTTACTGGCTGATGAAACAACTCAAACTCCAGCCCACAGAGTTGAACATTCACTAATGTTTTTGTGTGTCTTATCTTTAAGGCTTAACTTCTGAAGAAATATTAAAGGGAAGTCTAAGCAAGAAGCATGTGGAGTGTATTCAAAGAAAAATATCAGCAAAGGTACCATAAATAAACACTAGTCACCAGTAATCCTCTTCTTGTCTGACACCCACTTCTGTAAATGCATGTCACTACAACCTGTCACTTGTTTGCCTTCCAGGGACTAATAGTGAAAGAGCCTCCTCATCTCTCCAGAATTTGTAAAGAAAAGGGTGCGATTCACTGACACAATGGATATCATCTAACCCCTTCCTTCTGAAAAGCAAGTATTCAATTTGGTACTAAAAAGAACCTATATTTTCTATTCTTTAAAGCAAGGACTCTGGCTGCCAGCCAGGCCACAAGTAATTTCATATAGAAAGTGTGCTGTTAGATTTTAAGCCTCTAGGACTTAACCATAAAGCACACATGGTAATGTATTATTAAAACTTTTTATACATCAATTTCTATCTAAAAAAGAACTATACTGTAATAAAATTCTTATGAGTTGCAGTGCCACCTATATTAAAGTTAAAACAGAGTGGATACTGAGCGCTTCCTGTGGTAATTAAGTCCTATCTTGAACTTTATTGTGAGTGGCAGAAAAAAACCAAACCAAAACAAAAACAAATAATAATAAAAAAATCTTTCTAGAAATTTTTTTTCAAAGTGTTATTATTCAAATTGCTTATATTTCCTGTTTAGGAAAAAGGCATCCCTTCACATATTGCAGCAACTAGTTCTCTGAAGAAAACACACATGTATACAAAGTAACAGTCTTCAAGTGTCTTTACTTCAATCAGACTACTAGAAAATAGTTACCTCCTATCTTTCGCTAAATTAAAACAGCTAATATAAAAACGTATTCTAAATCAATTATGAATATTAACAATATAAAATTCAACGTGGAACAAGTAACTTAACTGTTTTAGAAACTCAGACTACAGATTATTCAACATAATCAACTAAATTTAAGCTGCCTCTAAACAACATCCCAACTAAATGGATTCTCAGGGTTTAAGTTTGAAGATCAATGTTAAGCAGCACACAAAGAAACTTGGTGTAATCTTCCGCAGGGCTGTTTGGAAATCCAAGCCTTTGAAATCCGACATGCTTCAGTCTTATTTAAAACGTGGAGAACTTAAGGATGTTGCGAAACAGCACAACAGTATCGATAATTGGTCTTTTTTGTTTGGTTTTGTTTCTTTAAAAACCCTCCTTGCAGTGGCTATTAAGAGAGATATCAAGCACACGGCTATACAGTTTCCAAAAGGAGGAGGGATGACCTCTAGTGCAGCCTTGCATATCTAATCAGCCAGCCACTGTATCCTTTATCATAGTTTTGCTATTATCTTTTTTTCTTTCCTTTTTTTTTTTTTTTTTTTTTAACAACAGTAGCGTTTTGACACTGCCCAATCAGGCATCTTTCAGGTAGATTGCAATCATGCCGATAACTCTAACCCATAAACCCCTAAATGCTTCTTTAGTATTGCCACAATTAGCTGTCATCCGACTCATTTCTGGGTCCTTCTGTTAAAACAGAATTAGTAAGCTTTCATTTTGCAGAATACTAAAAATCATTTAAAGACTCTGTGTACTAAAAACCTTTTGCTGACCTTCCTCAAAATTTTATTCAACCCTTTTCTTATTAGAACTAACTATCTGAACTATTTGTTCCTTGTTCTAACCCAGGGGACCCCAGATTCAGATCCTTATACTCACATTACAATTCTAAAATGTGTAGTAATTTCAACTACCACTGGTAAAGATACAGAGTGGTTTGTGAGAAACTGAAGGTAAAGCGTGGATCTTAAAGTCTGCTTGAAGCCTCACAGATCCTATGTAACCAGTTATTTGGTGGCTCCCTGTTGGTTTTGTCATAAGCTCCGCTCTCTCTTCGCAGCCTTATCTGTATTTTGATTTCTTTGGTCTGTGTTCAGTACCCTCAGCCAAACACAAACATATCCTCACTTTCAGTGTTACAATTCACTCAGTTGTAGCTTCCTTCGAATGCTCAGATAGAGTGGCAGTAATTTCTGGTTTAAAATTCTACCGTACCTTCCACGCACACAAATATCCTTGCTCTTCCAAGACAATTTCTAGACCTGCTGTTATAGCGTGACATTTTAGAATCAAGAAGAAATTCCCTCAAAATACCACAAGCAGCAAAGAGTGTTTATTTTGAAATATAAAAGCATGAGGTCTGGAAAAGTAATATATCACCAAAATGGATCCTGGCTACTGACTTTCATTTGTTTCATTTGTTTAGTTTTGTTCTGAAGCTTGTTTATACAAAAAAGGCCAAGCACAAAACGGGGAGTGTCTTTGCAAGATCTAGAATTCCACTACTTAAATTACTTATTGATTAACATCTGGAATCATAATCACATTGCAAACTGCAAAGTGTGACAGAAGGTCTTAATCATAATGAAGTGTTTCTAAACCAAAAAGGTATAACCTCCCACTCGTTTCCTATAATGACATTTGTCCAGAGTTTATAGTTTCTACTCACCATACTAACATAGTATCTGCAACAACCATAGTTACGTCAAAGTTTCAATTCAATCTCAAATAGAAAACCTAACAGCAGCCTTGTACAAACACAATTTAACCAGGAAGTTAAGTCATTTCACAGAAACCTTTCTTTTCCAAGTCACACCTACAGTTCAACTTCTGTGAACAACAAAGTGTTCAATTTATTCTCTTCAGGCTTTTCTTAAGATAAATGTTACAGGAGAGTCTACATGAAACCCATCTTTTAAATACCATTTTTAAGTCACCCTATGTAAATACATGTGTTATGACTTCTTCAGTTCTTTCCTTGGTCATTGCCCAATAAATTCTTCAGAATGTAGCCTAATGGACATGAACTAAGACATGGACCCTATCAGCACTTAGTTGGCATGCAGGCTTGGAGAAAAACAACCTCACTTTTACGTACATCAAATTTTCCTTCTGAAAATGAGTAAAAGAGTGGACTGTCATCCTTCATGAAACATGTTCATATCAACTGACAAAAACACTGTAACAGGATTTCTTTTTATACCATAAAAGAGAATATTACTAAACAGTTTTACATTCATCATGTTTTCAATGTTTCAACATTTACATAAAGAAAAAAATGCTGTAACAGCAATGCTCATGCAGGAGAAAAGAGGAAAAATCCCATGACTTTCAACTTTACATGCACACAAAGCTGGCAGTAAGAATATTAGTGGTGTGACATACAGAGAACTCTGTGCTAAAGAAAGCAATCGCATGATACAAAGAGGCAGTACCTTCTGCAGGACTAATACATCACTGAAGTGATGCATTTGATAAGACAGATTGGCAGGGTTAGCCAAAATTAACAGGTTTTTCTATAAAATTCATTAAGTGTCTGAGGCACCTTTCACAATCACAAATTATGAAGCCAGCTTATCTTTTGGTGCAAAGTTATGCATGGAGTCAGGTATGGACAGCATCATTCATAGAGCATCCTCTCAGCTCTGAAAAATTTTTTCCGAGTTTAGCCACTGTCAAACATGCTGTTTTATGTATCTTCCTACT